GCTGCTTCCTGCTGCTGGCAGTGAGGAGGGGGGTCCCCGGCCCCCCACTGTCTCACAGGCTGCCCTCTGCAGTGGATGGGGGGGCACCGCCTGTTGCTCCCTCACCTCCCTTACAACCTTCAAGGGGCATAGGACCCCTTGTGGGCCCCAGGCACCCGTGGTCTAGCTGGTACCTGCTCCTGCCATGAGTGCAGGGGACGGGGCTTGCTGGCCAGTTCTCTGCTAGGATTGGAAGGGTTGATGGGTACCTCAGAAGCAGGAAGCCCACCGATCCGAGTGGCTACCGGAGCCCGACAGCAGTAGAGGAGCACTCAGGAACACAAGGCCATTTGAGAGACACAAAATGAACTATTTGCATCCGTCTCAAGATTCCTACCCCTGGGCCATTCTTCTGAGGTGACAAATCTACAAAGTAGTCTACACCACAGGTTATGTTGCTACCTGTCACTCAGGGACATCCGTGCTAAACCTGGACAAGGGTGATCCACTAGATCTAGCACAGCTGTACTTGCAAAGCGCCTGCGACAAGATCGCTCACCAAAGGCTCTTTGGCAAAGCGCTGTCATGGGACAGAGGGAAGGTCCCCTTCACAACATGTAACTAGTGAAAAACTAGGAAGAAAGGGTTGGACTCAGACTGCTGGAGCCTGGGCGCGGGCGACAGAGGCTGGATCACACAATAACTGCCCTGTTTGGTCTGTACCCTCACAAGCACTGACATTAGCCACTTGGTGAGCGGGAGCGAGATGGAGCCATGCTCTGACCCATTCTCCGGTTCTTAAGATGCTAACAAACCCACTGCCAGGAAACTGACCCAGCCAGCAACCCCCAGAGGGCCTTCCTCACCTCCCGATAATAGGATGGGAGAGGGGTAAGGGTCAGGGAGCTCACCTGGCCTGATCCAGGCGAGACAGGGCTTGAACAAGGGCTTCACTGCAGTGTGGGTGGGCTCTGACCAGAATGCAGTGGGCTCTACCGCAGTCTCTCCTACCCCAAGGCCTTCCTAAGCCGTGCTCCAACTGACTAATTACCCCACTGCTCTCACCCTGACGTGCCACCAACCCCACCCCCCAGCCTCGCCCACTGGTAGCCCTGACCACTCCTCCCCATCCCACTGATTACTAAAGTGAGATAAACGAAAAGTCAGGGCCCGTGAAGTGAGGTGCATGCTGGTTGCTCACAACATTAACCGTGAGAGCCGTGCGCTCCCCCTGCATCCAATCACAGCGATGCTACTGTTCATAGAATCATAGGACTGGAAGGGACCTCGAGAGGTCATTGAGTCCAGCCCCCTTCCCTCAAGGCAGGACCAAGCTCTGTCTACACCATCCCTGACAGATGTCTGTCTAACCTGTTCT